CTCTCGTCTTAATGCTTACCTTTATTGTGAAACATCACCGACTCGTATTACTCGAATAAAGTTACTTTTTTCTTGCTTACTCTCTCACTCCCTCTCTCTCACCCTCTTTCTCTCTCTCTCTCTCTCTCTCTCTCTCTCTCTCTCTCTCTCTCTCTCTTTCTCCCTTTTCAAAGACGAGGAGAGAAAACATTTTTCTATTTCCAAAGGGACTCGTCGTACCTATATCCTCGTTTCTAAAAACCTCACATAACATTGCTGTTTCTCATAAAACAAAACGTGAAATTCTCAAAATACGATGGTGTAAACCTCATTCTTTTTTTTTTCTTTTCTTTCTCTTTCCCTCTTTCTTCTATCCTTTCTTTCTTTCTTTCTTTCTTTCTTTCTTTCTTTCTCCGAGTAACATTAATATTTAAACAACCGCGTCTCATAAAAGCTGCTTTGACTGGTAGAAAGTTTAACGATTAAAATGTCGTACGATGAAGTTACACGAGTAGAAAAGTTATGGGTATAACTATTTTGACAGGTAGTTTAACCTTAAGTAGAGAAAAGTTTAATTACCGCTCGTCTGGCATACTAATTTCCTGTCTTTACCGGTGGTATTACGTTTTTTTCATCAACCCCCATCTGCCTCTAACCCCCTCCCCCCTCCCACCCCCCAACATCCCCCCACCCCGCGCTTCTTTCCTCTCACCATCATCAGCTTTTAATTTTCTCCCTAATGAGGATAAATCAGGAGAGTCCGATGTAAACTAATAACCTGTGAGATCTCTTCTATACGGAGCCTTTGAAACCGACTCGATAATCGCAGAATATCCAAATGAATACACGTATATATATATATATATATATATATATATATATATATGTGTGTGTGTGTGTGTGTGTAATTAGGTAATTTCGTCCCAATATTACGGATTATTACAGATCGAATATTAGCCTAGGTTCTAACCATACTCGAAAATTACGAACAGAAGTATGCATGTATATATGTATGTATGTATGTATGTATGTATGTACATAGATAATTTCCAGGTCGATTTTAACGCAAGCTCGTTCGAGCGTGAAAACTTTACGAGAAAAGTTAGAGCTTTCTATTCGAAGGAAAAATGTGAAGCTCGAAATCACCCCCTTCCCCTCCATCTCGTCGTTCCTCTTCGTTCTTCCCTCAGCTTTTTCCAACCCCCCCATTTTCTTTCCCTTCTCTCTCTCTCTCTCTCTCTCTCTCTCTCTTTTCTTATTCTACTTTTTCTTTTTCTCATCTAAAAGATAGGAGGATATTCCTGCAATTCTCAACCTAATGCCATATATATATATATATATATGTACGTAACATTGTTATATATATATATAGCATTAGATTTAGTCATATATATATATATATATATATATATATATATATATATAAGTTGCTATAAATTTTGAAGGTAGAAGTGGTAAACCCTAAACGTCAAGCGACGTGTCCAACGTTTGTTCACTTCTATGTGAGCTTTCATCCGGTTATACGTTTTAACGTGCGCATCCTACCGAAAGATAGAGCCGGATTCAACGCTTAAGAGTCGGACGAACGAAATTGGAAAAACATTCAATCTTTCATTGGTTTTTTCTTTTTTCCTTTGTTTTTTGTTTTTCTCTGTTGTCTTTTTTCTTTTCCTTTTTTTCTTTTTCTTTTTTCTTTTTTTTCTTTATTTTTCCTTTCCCTACTGTTCGATAGAAACGTCAAATTATTTTGTTTCTCTTCTACTTTCTATAAACCTTCATTTTGTTATTGTTGTTGTTGTTGTTGCTGTTGTTGTTGTCGTCGTTGTTGTTGATATTGTTGCTATTGTTTTTTTGATGTTCCTCTTATCTTTTTTCCCCTCTTTTCTTCCCCTCTTTTTTTTTTTCTTCTTTTTTTAAATTATGATCACGTCTTATAGTAAGTAGACACACACATACATACATATATATATATATATATATATATATACCTATATAGCAAGCGTATAGCTTACGAGCCTGAGCGCTTTATTACTCGATCTTCGAGTAGCATTATAAAGAAAATGACTCTGAAATTTATCGCTCATGCAAATATTACCCCAAGATGAGATAATGTCCTATCGTTATGAGTTCAAGGCACTATAGAAGAATTTTATGTCGCAAGAGATATACCTTCGATGGTTCGGGCAACTACTACCCCCCCCTCTCTCTCTCCCCCACCCTCATCTCTTCCTCTCTCTCTCTCTCTCTCTCTCTCTCTCTCTCTCTCTCTCTCTCTCTCTCCCTCTCGTTCTATCTATCTTTTTTCTCTTTACTTTATAATAAATACTTCCTCTTATATCGTGATATATTTATCTACGAGTTAATATATTATATTCGCATGAGAGAGAATGCTCGTTTTGTTTTTAAAAACGGCAAAACGATATTATGAGAGGAAGAGTTTATTCGTTGACTCATGAAAAGCAATTACTTTTCGGAATAATTTAAAAAAGAAAAGGAACGTAAAGAAAGGGGGGAAAAAAAA